ATTGGCTGTTTCATAGAGAATGTTCCAGATTAAAAACAGACACAAAATTGTGCTACTTGAAGTTCAATCTTTTTACAAGACAAGTTAAATCTAAGATCTCAAATTGCCTCTGACATTTTATAAAAGACAGTTTATCTTCAAATAAATTTATTTTGCAGTAATGCATATAGTTGGTGTTCTGAGTGTCTCTGCCTCTGAGTGTATCAGGAAGCCTGGTACATGCACTTACTATATGCTATAGTGCGGGTCTGCCACGATGCAAGGAGGCCTGAGAAGTGACTTGGCAGCAGGGGTTTGTTCACAGGAAGAAGCTGCCAACCCTGGGTCCAACGTGGAGCTCTGGCTCTGCCCCAGTTTCCCAGAACAGACCTGGCTGTGCGCAGCCTAATAGCTGAGTGCTCATGACGCTAGCTAGCTGCCTTTCAAAAAGGCCAGCAAAGTGGTTCAGCGGGTAAAACTGATTGCTGCCTGCCACTTTTGACATCTTGAGTTTGAGCTCTAGAACCTACACGATGGAAGGAGAGAAGAAACTCCTACAGATTGTCCTCTAACTTCTACACACAGGCTCATGCATACATAGTTTTTTAATTTGGGGGGGTTGGTTTTATTTTTTCTTGGTTTGGCTGATAATGGTCTTTTGAGACAGGTTTTCTCTGTGTAGTCATGGTTTTCCTAGACTTCATAGACTACTCTGTCCTTGAACTCAGAGATCCCTTTGCCCCTGCCGCCTGGGATTAAAGGTGTATGCCACTCTGCCTGGCCCCAGCACTTGGGAGGCAGAGGGAAGAAACCTGCCAACCTCAGGTTTCATCCTTAGGAAAGCTATCTAAGCTGGGCGCGTGCTGCACACCTGTAATCCCAGCTTTCAGTGAGGCGGAAGTAGGATCTCAGAGTTTGAGCCCAGCCTGGTCTGCGAAGCCAAGGATGGGACAGTTAAGCTACACAGAGAAACCCTGTCTCAAAAAGCAAACAACAACAGCAACAAAAAAAGGAATTCCATCTACCATTTGAAAGGGCCTCTTAGGCTGGAGAGATGGTTAAGAGAGCTGGTTGCTCTTCCAGAGTTCCTGGGTTCAATTCCTAACACCCACAAAGCAGCTCACAGCTGTAACTCCAGTTCCAGTGTATCTGATATCCTCACACAGACATACATGTTGGCAAAACACCAATGCACAAAAAAGGAAAGAGTCTCTAATTGGCCTGGAGTTCACTAATTAAGCTAGACTGACTGTCCAGTGAACCCCAGGGGTCCTCCTGCCTTAACCGCCTCAGCCCTGGGATTACAACCGTAAGGCAACCCATCACGCATTTTGTGTTGGTTATGGGTTATTCGGGTCTCATGTAACCCAAGCTGGTCTCCAACTCACTGTGTAACTAGCTGCTGATAGCCTACAACTCCTGATCTACCTCATAAGTGCTGGCTTACATGCTCTTTTTTTAAAAAGATGTAGTTATTTTTTATTTATACAGCATTCTGCCTGCATGTATACCTGTGCACCAGAAGAGGGCACCACATCTCACTATAGATGGTTATGAGTCACCATGTGGTTGCTGGGAATTGAACTCAGGACCTTTGGAAGAACAGCCAGTGCTCTTAACCTCCGAGACATGTCCCCAGCCCCCAGCTGCTCTCTTAATGTAGGGTTAAAATGGCAGGAAATTATTGGGGCTGTGGAGATGGCTCAGTGCTTAACAGCACTTGATGCTGAGCAAGGGTGACAGCACCATGCAAGAGAGGATGGAGATAATGCCAAGTGGTCAGTGCTGAAAATAGAAGTAATATTACATGGCCGGAGCAGATTATATTTGGGATATATGTATATACATATATGCATGCAATAACAATTAGTGAGAAAAAAAAGGCAATTAATTTGAAGGCAAGTGGGAAGGGGTATATGGGAAGATTTGAGGTAGAAAAGGAAAGAAAATATCTCAAAAGCTTTTTGAAGATTTATTTATTCATTTATTTATTATGTATACAATGTTCTGTCTGCATATGCATATGCACCTGCACACCAGAAGAGGGCACCAGATCTCAAGATGGTTGTAAGCTATCACATGGTTGCTGGGAATTGAACTCAGGACCTCTAGAAGAGCAGACAGTGCTCTTAACCTCTGAGCCATCTCTCCAGTTCCTCAAAAACTTTTTTTTTTAAGGATTGCTGTTGCAGAGTGTTTGGTTCCCAGGACCCTCATGGCATCATCTCACTAGTGTCTATAATTCAGTTCCAGGGGATCTGACATCCTTTTCTGCCATCTGTGGGCACCAGGCCAGCATGCTCATGATCCACGTGTATGCATTGGGCAAACACTCATATACAGAAAAAGTAAAATTACTTATAAATATTAATGTGTTTATTTTTATTTTATGTGCAATTACTTTTATGTGTCCATCTGTGTGGTTGTCAAATCTTGGAGATGTAGACAGTTGTGAACTGCCCTGTGGGTGTTGGGATTTGAACTCTGGTCCTCTAGAAGAACAGTCAGTGCCTTTAATCACTGAGCCATCTCTCCAGCCCCTTTGTTGTTTTATTTTGTTTTGTTTTTTTCAAAACAGGGTTTCTCTGTGTAGTCTTGGCTGTCCTGGAACTAACTCTGTAGACCAGGCTGTACTTGAACTCCCAGAGATCCATTGGCCTCTGCCTCTGCAATTAAAGGAGGGGGTGGGGCAGGACAGGACAGTACCAGAGGCTTAGTGGTGTCTGCAGATCTGAAAGGAATCCTTTTCTTGTTGGAGTTCTCACAGGGTAATCATCGCGGGTCTTGCCATCATCCCTGAACGCAGAGGGAGGTGAATAAAGGCCTGGTTTCCTCCTAAGAACTAGCCAGGGCCCAACCCTTCTTACCTTCCAAGGTGTGTTTGAGATAATAGGACTAAAGACAAAGTCTAGCTCTCTTAGCAGAGGACTGAGGAAGGAGGCCTAGGGAATTGAAAAATGCTAAAGATCAAACAGAGTCAAGAACTTAGGAAGGTGACTCCCATAAAGTAGTGAGGCCCAGGTTCATCCCCCAGATGCTCACATACCCTGCCGACTTCACTATCAATCTGGCCTCAGACTGGACACGGGGGATGTTTACATGGGCCAGGTCTGAACAGTACCATAACATCAAAAACAGTTGACAGCCACCCAGTGGAAGGAGCAGCCTGGAAGCAACCAGGTCAGTTACTTGCTAAAGCAAAAATACAAACATTTGAATTCCAACCCGGGCAGCTAGAAGCCAGCATGTATGTCCTTTTAAAATATATTCTACCTCTTCACTGACAGTGCCAGCCTGGCCACATGGTCCCCTCTTGCAGCCAGTAAGCTGTGGGCAGAAGATGGGGTCATTTGCATATTTCTTTTTTTTATCTGTCACATATTTCTCTTTATACATTTTTATTGGCAAATTAAAGGATTTTTTAAAAATTTAAAATACAAACATTTGTCAAAGGAGTGAAAAAAAAATACATGTTGGGTGGTGGTGGTAGAGGCAGGAGGTAGAGGCAGGCAGATCTGAGTCTGAGGCCAGCCTGATAAACAAAGTGAGTTCCAGGACAGCCAAGGCTACACAGAGAAATTCTGTCTCAACCAAAACAAAACAAAAAAAATGGGGAAAAAAACGTATTGCTTTTGGGGCTGGTGTGTAGTTCAGTCTGAACAGTGCCTACACAGAGCCCTGAGTTCAACCTCTAAAACTACATAAAAGAGGTAAGATGATTGGTACAAGCCTGTGATCGAGCAGCTAGCAATCAGAGTCGAGGGCATCACCGCAAGTTTGAGGCCAGCCTGCTCTACACATCCAGTTCTAAGTCAATCAGGACAATATGAGACCCTGACTAGCTCAAGAAAAAAAAAAGAAAAATTTTATGTGATTTCTTTTATATGAACTACTTAGCATAAACATGGTCATAAATCATAAATTAGAAGTTACCAAGGGTCAAAGTGGTACCATTAATTCTAGGAGAGGTAAGTGGATCGCTGTGGTTTACAGAGATCAGCCTGGTTTACATAGCAAGTTCCTGGACAGCCAAGGCTATATGGAGAGATCTTGTCTCAAAAGGGGGGTGGGAGCCAAAGAAAGGCTCAGCGGTTAAGAACGTGCTGCTCTCAGAGAGCTCAGGTTCAGTCCCCAGCACCCACGTCAAGCATCCTGTAACTTCAGTTCCAGGAAATCCAGAGCCCACTTCTAATCTCCACAGAGCAACACAAATGTGGCATGCATTCACACAGACACATACACATAAATAAAATACAAATGAATCTTTAAAAGTGGGGGTGGAGCTGGGGAATGGTCAAACACACCTTTAATCCCAGGGTTCCAGGACAGCTAGGGCTACATCATTGAGAAAACCCTGTCTGGGGTGTGGCACATGCCTTTAATCCCAGAGAGGCAGAGGCAGATGGATCTTTGTGAATTCAAGGCCAGCCTGGTCTACAAAGCCCAGAACAGCCAAGGATACACAGAGAAACCCTGTCTTGAAAAACCAAAAACCAAAACAAAACAAATCAGACACACATACACTATAACAAAAAAAAAAAAGAGAGAAAGAAAGAAAAAGAAAGAAAGGAAGGAAGGAAGGAAGGAAGGAAGGAAGAAAGAAAGAAAGAAAGAAAGAAAGAAAGAAAGAAAGAAAGAAAGAAAGAAAGAAAATAATAAGAAAAAGGACAAAACCAGAGAGGATCTTCAGCATTTCAGACAAAGAAAGAAAGAAAGAAAGAAAGAAAGAAAGAAAGAAAGAAAGAAA